AGACTTAAAAATTTGCTACCATTAAGAGAAAACAAAATGATAACATTTTTAATTTTCCTGATTTAAATTTTATGCAAAATGTTTCATTCAGCTTTTGTCTTAAATTGTCGTTTTTTTTTCTACCAGTCGGTAATGTAGAGGAATATAGTATTAAAAATTTTCATATACAGGACAAAATCGAAGAAAACTTGTTCCTTGTTCCTTTGATAAATAAAATTTTTATCTAATTAAACATCACATCTGTTACCAAACGACTTCCACGATCAAGGATCTTCAGTTCTGTATTTAAGTCCACAGATGTTCAATGCTTGATATATGTAATCTAGATGTATGTATCTGGAAATATATTCCCGGGACTTTCAAGAGGTCGTCGCTTTACTTTGTGGGAGACCTACCTAGTTTACGTCCCAATATATTGTTACGCCGGTAAGAGTAACGCCATCTGTCGTCGAATAGCAGAGTCGAATATCAAAAGAACCAGTAATATCGAGAACGCTCGAGAATTGTAACGCCATCTATTATCAAATAGCAGAAACATATATCGAAACGACTGGTCTTGCTGGGAATGTTCTATATTGATTGTAGAGATGTCGTATCGACTATAAAAGCGTTACAGAGATGATACGAAGGCAGTTAGTAATCGGATCAACTGAAGCGAAGCGGAAGAAGCGAATTACGAATTGTAAAGTGTTCTGTGGGTGTAGACTTATAGCAGCTAACTCTAAATAAACTTAGTTAACAGTGCTGCGCCGAAATACGAGGATGTACGTATATATAAAAAAATCACTCGCCAAATTAACATGTTAATGGTATTGTTACGCCGGTAAGAGTAACGCCATCTATCGCCGAATAGTCGAACGAATATAGAAGGATCTAGTAGTATCTAGAACGCTCGAGAAGTACAACGCCATCTATTGTCAGATAGCAGAAACATACACTAGTAGACTTTTGTGGAATACTCTCGACGATTCTGGGGATTTCGTCTCGATTATAAAAGCGTTGCAGAGATGGCACGCAGTAAGTCAGTAATCGGAACTACTCGAAGCAAAACAGCGAACGGATCACCTGAAGCGAAGCGGAAGAAGGGAATTGAGAGTTTTAAAGTGTTTGTTGAGTGTTATAAGTGTTAAGTAGAGTTTTAATTTGTACTTCGGTGGAAGTTTTATTTATCCCGAACCCCAGCGCGTAACAATATATACATACAATCACAAAATAGTACAATCGTTTAATAAATAACTACATATACTCGTACAAGCCCCGTAATATTTGATAATCACCACCACCTATCGATATCAGCCACCACGCTGTCATACATTCCAATCTAAGGGGTATATCAGTGCTTGTAGAATAAAATTCGTATTTCTGCAAGATTAATTGAATTTGCAACAACATAGTCATTACAAATTGCAGACGCATTCTTCCGCTGCACTTTAAAAGGCCGCAACAAAGCCGGCCTCGTAAACATTATAAAAAACTTTTAAACTGCGAACTTTCACAACTAGAACAATGACGCTTCGAGCTTTATAAGGCACGACCCGGGCTGAACTATTCCAAGTTTCGTCGTAAATTTAAATATGAATATGTCCTCTAAAGGAAACGAGAACGGAATAAATCAACCGTTTATAATTTATTAAGCCGGTTATTGTGTGTGTTTATAAACTTGTGAACTGTTGTTCACCACCACCCTGCCTATTTCTGCCGTGAAGCAGTAATGCGGTTTGAAGGGTGGGGCAGCCGTTGTAACTGTACTTGAGACCTTAAAACTTATATCTCAAGGTGGGTGGCGCATTTACGTTGTGAATGTCTATGGGCTCCAGTAACCACTTAACACCAGGTGGGCTGTGAGCTCGTCCACCCATCTAAGCAATAAATAAAAAAATAGCATGTGCTATTGTTTGGTCATGAGGGGTGTTGTGAGCATTCCAGTATAGGGCCCTAAAAATATCCTTAGGTCCGCGGTTTGCTCCTAACGTCTGCAGACTGTCAAGTTCTATATACCGGCGTGCCACTTAGGCGTGGATAAATTGTAGGATTTTCGGCCCCCTGCTCAAAAAAAAAAAATTGTCAGCTTGTGTAGCGTGGAACAACTGCAGGCCCATTTCTGCACGAAGTAATCTCCTGATTCGATTGATAGAAAAGCTCACCTTGTATTTTAAACTAAATCCCATAAATATCACTAATTGAGATTCAAGTTTAACCATTAAAATAGACCATTACCATTCTCGATGTCTCTGAGAGTAACTACGTCAGCTTTTTTTTTTTAAGCTGGTAGCTTTGAGAGGCTATTCAAGCGTAAACTTAAAAAAAAAAAATTACATGTGTGCAATTCACACGTGGTAGAAGTGAAACCTTCCAAAATTAAAATACAATTATCCTAAACGTCTTAAGTATATGTAAAATTTTGTCATTAGTAAATAATTGTAAGGTAGCGCCCTCTGTGAATTGATATTTTAATTTCACGTATAATCCTAAATTAAAATTCACTACAAGAGCTTTCATACACACGTTAGTATTAAAAAATCTCACAGATGGCGCTGTATTAAATAGTATGTATATTTCTGTCTCATTCTTTGCTGGCTTCATCCTACACATTTTTGTATTTGTGTCTCTTACCTGTCGTTTTTTCCGTTGCATCCGGTTTGAAATCACAACGATTCTAAAGAAGTTTTCACTTCAACTAGTAGGTGAGCTCACGGGGCTCAAACCTGACGACGTTGCTAACACGAACCCTAGCAAGAGCCATGCTTCGCAGAATCTACCACCGGATCGGAAACGCGACCCACTGAGAAGATCCGGCGAGAAACTCAGTGCTACGCCAGCAATAGAGCATACGACTCACTTGGTGATAGAGGACGCCATTGTTCATGGACAGCAGCAAAAGCCGAGACGAGAAGTCGTAGAGAAAGACAAGAAGCCATGTAAAGTATAAAGGATAAGATGGTTAAAGGATAAGACGTACGGTGTGCTCGTATCGATGGTAAAATGTCGGCGTTCAATCCAGCCGGCGCGTACCAGTTATCTATATATTAATACGTGAAGCAATAACTTTGTATCCCTTTTTACGAAAAGTGCGCGGACGGAGGAGTATGAAATTTCTCACACTTATAGAGAATATAGAGAAGGAGTGCACAATGCTATTTTTTTTTTTAATTAATGCATATAGAAAATTTTAAATCAATAAAGAAAACATTACATACACTACCATGTATTTGACACAACACATACATAAAAATATATATGTTTATTGTCAATTGTGAAACTTTTGTTATTGTTTAAAGTCTGTGGTCGAATTGAAAATTGATTGATATTATTTGTCTTTAATATTATTGATCTATAGTGCAGTTTTCGCGAATACTGTGATTATATTAGCTATCGAATTATAATAGTGTTTGACAATAGAGCCATAATAACTATAGTCGAATTTCGACTACTGCGGGGCCACTGGTTCTAATGAAATACGTACTTGACACACGTTCACGATAAACAAATAACATCGTGAAATAATAACTCACCAACAGATTATGATGAAAACAACTTAAAAGATTATCGATAAAGTGGATTAATTAATGACTAGTGTTGATTTATAAAGGTCATGTTTGACTCGTTGCCTTATATCTACATATAATAAACGTCATAACCGTATGAACGATTCCAAATTATGGCGATGAAAATGAAGCTAGTAGTTAATTCGTTAAATGTCAATAATGTTAAGAGAAAAAAACCGAATACATACAGATCAGGCCGGCAGTCCTCATCTCGCTCTCACGTCAATATATTTTATGAATTTTGTTAAATAAAATATCAAATAATTACTATTACTGATATTACTAAATTAATTACAAAGAAAAACAAATCCTTAGTGTGGGAAAAATTGAGAGGCTACATTTTTTTTTGAGGTCGGCTTAAAAAAAACCTCTCAATTTGTTTTGCCACGATTTTCTCCTGAGAAATGGCTCCAGTGGTTTTCGAAAACACTTAGCAGCGGTTAAAATAATTTGAAATGAAAAAAAAAAAACTTATTTACTGACGTAGAAGTTAAAATAAATTTATATTTATTTTTTGTTTCTCTACCCTATATAGTACCTTCGAATCACAATACATTATTGCTTCGCAACATTGATAGGCATGGTACCTACCCGTGCAAGGCCCTTAGACGCCCTCCCACTTGCAAGAGTTTGATATCATCTTCATTGGTTTGTATGAGGACTCAGGATGATGGCTTCAGAAGCATCGCTTGAAGAAGTCATAAAATAAAGGAAAGCGTGTAACACTAATGTGGCGTATAGCTAGGACCTGTAAGACCATCAGAGCTCGCCACGAAGCAATCTCGTGTTCTCGTTTGGAGGATTGAAGCAATATAATGGCGATTTCGAGATGACATCACGACATTTACGTCTTGGTGACCATGGCTGCCGGTAATCATTCAACATTGCCTAACATGAGTCGTGGTGCACAAAAAATCACCTATGGTCCCGACCCCTTTGGGCATACACTACGTATTACCAACTCGTCGGGTCCTCGCGTCCCCTTACTGAGGCGCGGATCGGGCCTTGGGGCAACTCCCTTTGTCCGGACTTAGGCTGCCTGCATAACGAGGTAGGGGTGATTTTCCTGCTGCTATCGTTAGTAATGAGGATGGCGGCGAATATGGTTCGTGAATACGGTATGAATTGTGATGTACGATCATGAGCTACTTATGATGGTTTGATGATATTGTAATGGAGGTGCTCCTTAAATATATAATTTTGGTTGTCACCCTATCCTTGAGTAAGTGAAGGTGGGTTCGCCTCCAGCCCCGTAGCTTGAGAATTTGATCATCATCATCTTCGTATCATATTAACGTTACCAACAGACGATGTCGCTGTATAAGTACTAGTTATTAGTTAAGCTACGTATCTTTATAGTTTACATGATAAGATATTACGTTATCTCACATATGTAAGTTGTTTAATCTCATTTATTTATCGAAATTTTATTGTTTAGTTGTGTTTTTTTTGAAAATGCTCTTATTTTATTGTTCGCTTGCGATTATCGCAGTGGTTTCTGCTAAAAATGAGGAGTATATGGGGTGAGTATGTTGCACTCAAAAAAATTGTTGTGGCCCGGTAGCACCGCACTTTTTATTTTTTATTTTTTTATTGCCCTTGTAGGCAGAGGAGCACACGGCCCACCTGATGGTGAGTGGTTACCGTCGCCCATGGACTTCAGCAATGCCAGGGGCAGAGCCAAGCCACTGCCTGCCGCAGCCAAGCTGCTACCTACCGCTCCATAGGAAACTTACAACTCAAGAGCAGCTGCTTCGCAAATGAAACTACAACCGGATCGGAATCGCGACCCGCTGAGAAGATCCGACGAGAAACTCAGCGGGCTGATGTTTAGGTTAGGTTGCACGTCGAACTCTTTGCCGAGTTCGACGAGTACGGTTACCAGGGTCCCTACTCCTAGTGTTAGAGCTGAAGGTGTCTAATGCAAGGGTTATTGGAGCTGATGGATCCGTAAGGACTTGTAAGGAATTGCTATCAACGTTCATAATAATGTAGTCTTTTGAACCGGTCACAAAATGATAAACAATCGCATAGTTATAGCAATTTCAGTAAATTTTGTGTTAGGTTAATGGATCTTAGGCTTCATTTCATAGCCTTCAGAGCAGGGGACAAAAAATACATAAGCTGCAAAAATAATTACCCACATTTCCCCACAGGTTCAGGGTTTACAACCTGACCTTTTCGACCCAGGAGCAGCAAGACAAGTTCCATCTGCTTAAAAGCGATTTGATTGAATTCTGGCAGCGACCAAATCTACAACGCAATGTGGTCGGTCAGGCCATGGTTCCGCCTTCTCATTTCCCATGGTTCGAAGAGCAACTCGAAAAATTGGGTATCGAAAGGAGTTTGCATGTAACTGACGTATTTGAGTAAGTGAGTTTGGATTTTTTGAGAGAGTGTATTTATTGTTAGGCGACTCAAAAGTAATTGTTATGTTAATATAAATGAGATATTGAATCTGATATAAAAAAAACGATATTTTACTTTAGCCCTTTGACTAGTATGTAGGTCACCGGTGCCCTACGCGGCGCACTGAAGTAATTATGTCAATTTCTGTTACTAAGGCGCCGTAATATCTAGTTGACTCTGGGAAAGACAAATCCGAAGATACTGAGAAGGAATCTAAGATATTTAAAAAACTAAAAGATTAAAAACCAAAAGAAGGCAATGTTATGTAATCCAAACGCTACAAAGCAGTCAATGTGTTAAAATATAACTGGGTATTATATGATGAACTGCATAAATCCATACTAATATTATAAATGCGAAAGTAACTCTGTCTGTCTGTCTGTCTGTCTGTCTGTCTGTCTGTTCCTCTTTCACGCCTAAACGGCTGAACGGATTTTGATGAAATTTGGTATGGTGATAGATGATAACCTAGAAATGGTCATAGGCTATAAATAATCACGCCATCGTTCTTAGGGGGTAGGCAGTAGGCAGATAACTAAATTGAGTTAGTGATTTTTAGTCGTTTTTGTTGGGACTTTTGCTCTTTCACGTATAAAAGGCTGAACAGATCTTGATGAAATTTAGTAAGGTAATAGATGGTTACCTAAAAACGGATATAAGATCAAAATGATCACGTCATAGTACTTAGGGGGTAGGAAGTAGGCAGAAAACTGAATTGAGTTAGTGATTTTTTTATGGTTTTTGGTGGGAGTTTTGCTCTATCATGCCTAAACGGCTGAACGGATTTTGATGAAATTTAGTTAGGTGATAGATAGTAACCTAGAAAAGGATATGGGCTATTAATATTCATGCTATCGTACTTAAGGCGTAGGCAGTAGGCAGAAAACTAATTAAGTTAGTGATTTTTAATAGTTTGGTTTAAAAGTTTACCTCATTCACGCCTTAACGTCTGAACGGATTTTTATAAGACTTGGTTAATATAAAGATAGGATCCTAGGCACGGACACAGGCTGAGGTTTTTTTTTCTACACTAGAAATTCCCTAGAAATCTTATTTAAGGCAAAATAATGTTTGCCGGGTCAGCCAGTAACAAATAAATGTATTGAAAAAGTGATATGAAAGCATCAGAATACTGAATTTTGACAACAGATTAGCGTTAGACGACGGTTAATATTTTAATAACCATGTTATGATAATATGATTTAATCTCGCACTTGTTTATTCACTGGTTTTGGTTGAAATTGGCTTTTTTGGACTAAACATATTGTCTTATCTACTGTACCAGTTTTGAGCAAAGTAGTCTTCGATTTGTTTATTAACTAATATTTGATTAAGGTTCTTATTTTTTTTATAGATTTTTAAAAGAAAAGGATCCAACACCAATGTTAAGAAACAACAGAAATTTTGACTACACCGATTTTTATAGGTACAATGAAGTTAGTATATTTTATTCTTTATTAGAAAACTGTTTTTGCCCTATACATTTATTTAAACCGAATTCAAATTTGATTGTCACTTTTGTCATATAAAGTCTATACTCAGCTACATTTTTTCTCCAAGCCCAATTCCATATAGTCATTCCATATTATAGTCTTTTCTGGAACCACAGACTCTTGCTTTTTCCCAATTACATTTTTTTCGTCAAATATGTTCCAATCGCCATCTTTTCAACCAGTCAAAGCCAATTCTTTTCAGAACTACTATGCTTCTTTTCAGATCTTAAATCATCTAAACACCTTAAAAGAATCTTACGCAAACAATCCAAATATCAACGTAGACATTATACAACATGGAGTTACAGACCAGAATCGTCCATTAGTATATTTGAAGATATCCAGGGCCACCACCGCCATAAGACCGGTGGTGATAATAGAAGCTGGTATTATCCCTAATGAATGGATAACTATACCGGCAGTTCTGAATACAGTGGATAGAATATTGGAAGGGTCTGCCTATTTGGATGCATTTGATTGGATTGTCGTACCTGTTGTTAATCCTGATGGATATGAATATACTCATACCAATGTAAGTAGAATTAGAATAATTTAAAGATAAATAATTCGCGAAAGTCACACCCAATTCAACACCCAAACAAAAGCAATCAAACCCTTTTTTTTTAATGTTTGCCCGATGTGGGAATTGAAAACACGACCCTCAGCCCAACGACCAGGTGACTAATTACTTCACCACAGAGTCAGTCAGAAGACGTTATAACATATTTTACAGGCAGAGTGGTTGATGTGAAAAATACTACACGTTTCTCCCGACTCTGGTTAGATTTATTTTTAACTTATCCAAAACTTTATAGATATTTTTAATTCTGACTTTACTCCAACTTCAGAATAATTTCGTATTTGTTTATATATAATAAATAAGTTATAATACGATACGATACGATACGTTGTAATATGATTTTGACTCTAAAAACAAGCGAAACTTATATTATGTTTGGTAGATTTTTTGCAGGAGATCCCCCGTATAGCTGTTGACTATCTCGACTGAATTCGTTACACAAATTACATTTGGCTCACACAATACATATATATGCAGAATTATAAACAGTTCTTAAATAAAATTTTCAAAAATAGACCAAGGACCGCGGGTAGGATATTAGATTTCATGGACTTACAATATACGTTTTAAGTCATCCAATTAAAACACTGATTATCCACAGCTGAGACTCTGGTCGAAATCTCGAAGCACCAGAAGTAACCTTGGCATCATCTGCCCTGGGGTCAACATCAATCGCAATTTCGACTTGGACTGGTCACACTTCGACTCTAGCTCCAGTCCCTGCAGTCACCTTTATGCTGGAGTCGAACCCTTCTCAGAACCAGAAACCAAACTCTTGAAGCATTTAATAGACGAATATGGTACCAGAACTCGGTTGTACTTATCTCTTCAGAACAACGGAGGGTTCCTAACATATCCATGGCATTTTGAGAAGGCTGCTAGTGGGATGTTTAGGCAGCATCATCTAACTGGCATAGATGCTGTCAATGCTATGAACGAGAATTATATATTAGGAGCGGCTTCTGTTGTGTTTGGGGAAAGAGCTTCAGGCACTAGTGTAGATTATGTTAGATCTAACGGTTTACTTTATACTTTCAATATTGATATTGTACAAAGAGGAAACGGTGTTTTGATACCGGCAGGTGAAATTCGAAGTATTGTAGATGATGTTTGGAGAGGAATTTCTGCTATTGTTAACAGTATTATCTAAAATAAATTATTAAAGTGATTAAAATAGATGATTTATTTAAAAAACTAGCTGACCCGGCAGACTTCGTTGTGCCTCAATCGATAAATAAAAGACATAAACTTTTGTATAAAACAAACAAAAGGAATCCGTCCGACGGGGGACACATCAAAGAGAAAACAAAATTGTTATTTTTGTTTAATTCCGAGTATTTTTATATTTATCTACCTTTCAAACCTTCTCTGGACTTCCACAAATAATTTAAGACCAAAATTAGTCAAATTGGTCCAGCCGTTCTCGAGTTTTAGCGAGACTAACGAACAGCAATTCATTTTAATATTATTATAAACTAGAGGTCCCGCAGTAGTCGAAATTCGACTATAATTAATTGGAATTGTAAGTTTGTACACTATTATGACTGTATTTTATACTTCTATAATCACAAATTTCGCTAAGACTACCCTTTAAAAAATGTTAACAAAGGCAAACAATATTTAATCTATTCTCAATTTGACCACAGACGTCAAGAACAAAAGTTTGACAATAAATAGTATGCATGCGTATGTGCGTCAAATACATGGTATGTAGTGTGTGTAATGTTTTCTTTATTGATTTAATGTATCTTTTATGCATTATATAAAAAAAATATTAGCATTGTGCACTTCTTCTCTATATTCTCTATAAGTGTGGAAAATTTCATACTTCTCCGTCCGCGCAATTTTCGTAAAAAGGATTACAAAGTTTTTGCTTCACGTATTAATATATAGATAGATAAATAATAATTTATATTTGTGGGGTCGCCAAAAAAGAGTTTTTCACAGCATAGTTGCCGTCATTGCCGAGTACATCAATCGACCATTGGAATTTTAATGTAGTTATAGATTTTTTTGTTAAAATTGTAAGTAAATGAAGAGGAAAAGCGATAAAGGTCTTTTTACTGTATTGAGCATCCCTTTTTGGTGAATGTTCGCTTGTCAAATTTTAGACCCCTGGCATTGCTGATGTACATGGGCGACGGTGAGCACTAGATATTTAAAGTAGGCTTTTCAACCTTTTAAGCAATCGGATGCGAGTTGTTAAGAGACAAATTCTTATTCCTGGTCTGTCTACCGCTCCCCAAAGTATAGGTGGAAGTCCGCTTAGCAAAAAAGCTAAAGAGGTCATCACAGACCAGGATTTAGAACACAAGGATTACATTACATCATGGTGATTTGTAATTTGTCTTTATCTTGAAATTACAAAAAGAGAGAGATAAATAATACACACTTTATTGCACACTAAAACACAATTAACATTAGAAAACAGTCAACAAGCAGATACATTTATACAGTAGGCGGTCTTATCGCTAAAAGCGATCTCTTCCAAAAAACTGTTTAATTTACAGAAATTCTAAAATAGGTAAAAATATAGCAGGTATGTTACGGTATTAGCAATACATTATTGTAGTAAAAATATAGTATACAGAATTAAAATTTAAATTCTTAGATTTTATTTGATAAGTCAATGGTTAATATGCACCAAGAGCATTGATTGTAGAGTCGAACCTTAGAGTCGAGACCCTGACTCGTGAAACCATGTAGTACAGAATGGGCGTTGCACAACAAGTGATGGAATGCTCTATGCTATTGATCAATCTGATGGATCAGTCCGTAATACACAAATTAGTGATCAAATAAAAATTACACATGTTAGTAAGAGAGTAGAAGATCGGAATTAGAGTAGGGTAGGACACTTAGTAAAGCGAAATGATACAGATGGAGTAAAACAGTGACGGAATGGTGGTCAAAAATAGGTCTTAAAGGTATCGGAAGAGCTATGGCACGGTGGACTGATGATATAGTCAGGGCGGCGCGGGGCGGGCTTGGATGAGAATGGCCAGCGAACCAAACACTATGAAAAACACCAAAAAAAACTAACAAAATATGCTTTTATAGAAAATCCAACTAAAAAATACATGCAATAAAATCATCTTACACTACTTTTAATTCAAATTTATTAAGATTTATTTTCTATTTTTTATTTGATTCATTTTCTATAAAAGCGTATTTTTTTAGTTTTTCAAACTATTATTAATTTTTAATTTTTTAGCTGAATTTCAATTTTTTCATTTTTTTTTGTCATCGGTCCTTAATAACTATACCAAATTTCGAGTTAATCCGACGTTTTGAAGAGATCAAAGATTCAAAGATTCCGTTACATACTAACATACATACGTCTGAAACTAATAAAAGCGTATTAAAAAGGGAGGCCTATGCCCAGCAGTAGGTACCAAAAGGCTGAAGATAAATAAATAAACGAATACGATTCTTCTTTCCTAGTTTTTCGGCGTAGATTCGATTTAGATATATTTTTTTTGTTTTTAAGAAAACTAACTATCAATCAAGACGACCTTGAGCTCTTTTTCAATAATATAATCTAAAAAAGAAAACCTCACGTTATCTCGACACTTATACTCTAAAAGAAAACTTCCGAGTCTGAGCGTTCTTCGATCGCCGAACGAAGAAAACTAATTTTAAACATCTCACAACTGAGAAAGTGAAAAGAATAAAAGAAAAAAAATACCGCGTAGAAACTTGAGCGGGATCGATTCGTTAAATTGAAAATAGATCCTTCCGCCGTAGATTAAAGAAAGCGATTTGATTTTTGAACGAAAGGAATCTTCGATTTCCCTTCCCTAAAAATATCGTATCCCGAATTTAACGCGCCGCGGTCGAGATCCTTGCTCTCAATAAAACTCTTAATTCTGCAAGCGGATTTTGAGTTCTTGACACTTTAATTTGATTTATTTACGTATTTTATTTATTTATTTTTAATTGCACTTGTAGGCAGACGAGCATACGGCCCACCTGATGGTGAGTGGTTACCGTCGCCCATGCACTTCAGCAATGCCAGGAGCAGAGCCAAGCTGCTGCCTACCGTTTCAATATTTGAGTTATATTTATGTTGGTTTTATGTTTCATATAAAACACATAAGCTTTGGTAATTATTGTTTTTATTGCTCTTGTAGGTAGAGGAGCATACGGTCCACCTGATGGTGAGTGGTTACCGTCCCCCATAGACTTTAGCAATGCCAAGGGCAGAGCCAAGCCGCTGCCTGCCGTTAATTAATTGAATTAAATTACCGTTAACTGAAAACATTATTAATAAATTGTAATTATCATTGCATTAACGCGATAATGAAGATGCTACACGTCTTGAATTGTGCTGTGATGTAATGCAATAAATACTACACAAGTAACCTGCATTCTGTTCCAACAGTCACGCGTTGTGGTCTAGAGGATACAATAGTCGTTATAAAAGTGGAGATTCCAACCTCACATCTCTTCACTTTGGAATATTTATAGACTTATGTTTGCAGTTCTTGGGAAGCTGGTTTTATGGGTCGTGTGACTATAAAAGAGCGAGTTTTCCCATTCGACTTTGCGAGAGCGGTACTCCGAATCGATTGATCGAAGCAAAGTTCATATTAGACAAGGTTGAATGGAGAAAATTATAAATGATCGCACCGAAGAGAGGTCAGCTGAAATTATACGAAAACTGCTGACGAGGACGGCGTGTCGCAAACATAACAGTACAGTGATTAATTCCGACCGGACGTCTGCAACATGTCACTGTAAATGTGTCGTTGCATGCTCACCCTGTGATATACAGCGACTCGCACGTTTTGATACTTTATAAATATATACGTTGGAGACGGTCATTAGTTCGGTACCGGTCATCATTCTCGTCGAACCCGCTTGCGACGAAGGGCTCGATGAGTAAATTAACCCACATACACAGCCCACTGAGTTTCTCGCCGGATTTTCTCAGAGGGTCACGTTTCCAATCCGGTGGTACATTCTGCGAAGCACGGCTCTTGCTAAGGTTAGTGTTAGCAATGTCATCAGGTTTGAGGCCCATGAGCTCACTTACTTGTTAGGGTTACGATGGAATGGCCTCTCAAGGCCATCAGCTTAGGCAGGGAAAAAGATAAGCGATTTAAGTCCCTCGTACCATCTCGTGGCGGATTCAACAAATTTCAGTTTACTAATATAATTAGTACATAAAGAAGATTTAAAGCTCTATGCTTATGAATGAATGAATGAATGATTTATTTTATTTCAGACAACAACAAGTCCACATGTGTACATAGTATCATTGAAACATACTTAAAATTAACAACACCAATCAAATAAAAAAGATACATTTATTAAAAATAATTATCAGTTCAATACATTTCAAATATTCCATTCAACTGATACTTCCTTCAAACCAACCATTATTATTATTATTTAGTCCGCAAGTGAACCACGGTACAATGGTTCAAGTACCGACAGTCATAACGGTCTGTTAATACACCTTCAGGATGCTGTTCAGTTTAAATTTCAAACCTTGTTTACAGAAGGATTAATTCAAAGATGAAATTATTATTTTATGGTAAGAAATTGGTCAACTGTTTTTTATCTTTAATCGTAATCCACAGTGAAAAGACCAAAGTAAAAAGTTTTCTGGCCTTACTGATCTCCAGGAGCTATATAGTAACCACTCACCTCACGATTTTTTATGATGAATAGCGTGAGCGCTCTCATCACAAAATTTCACTACTCGTCATAAAAGCGCTTTCAGGAGGGAACCAGTTCACTTGCCCAAGTGCAGCAGCAATAGCCCCTTAGGCTACCAGCGATTAGGTAGGTTAGGTTAGGTAGTAGGTAGGGCACTCATTCGATTATGCAAGACTAGATTAGATTTATCTATACTAATATTATAAAGCGGAAGAGTTTGTTTGTTTGAACGCGCTAATCTCAGGAACTACTGGTCCGATCCGAAAATTATTTCAGTGTTAGATAGCCTATTTATTGAGGATATATAGCATCACTGTAAGACCGATACAAGTGGAGCACCAATAAATAATGTTTTAAAATAGGGGTTTAAATAGCTTCCTTAACATTCTATAATTCAAAAATATTTTCACTTTCTACGTAAATTAAGTGGGGTGTAAAATTTAGCGTTATGCCAAAGTAACTATTCCACGCGGACGGAGTCGC